GTATCAGTTCGTTCTGGGCTTCCAGGGAGGAGGCCACCAATCAGGTGTGCCTAGAGGGCAGGAGCATGCACCAGAAATGCTGCCGGAACTCAGTCCCAGGAAGAGAGCCAGGCGAGTGCCTGTGAGGAGTGTGGGCGGTGTGGAGGGGTCCTGGGGAAGCAGATAAGGACAAGGAGAGCCGGGGCTCCATCCCTGTTAGGAGACATACCATTTCCACCCAACCCCAGCCCAAGGTCAGAGAGTTCTGGAGGCTCGGTCAGAGCAAAGTGGGGCTGAAGGAAGCGGAGTCATCACCATGACGTAGACACCCCTCCCCAGGGCAACGTCTCCCCAGACATTTCATTGTGGTGGTGGCCCTAGTGTTGGTACTATGCCAGGGGCCAGCAAACGGAAGCCACGTTTGTCCCTCAGCCTAGTTAGAGAAATAAAGTTGTATTGGGACTGTGATAGTTACATAATCTGGTGCCAACTTGAGCCGGACCTCATTGAGGGGCACTCCAGCTCGCTGGAGGTGGGACACACTCTCTTCCTGGAGACATTCCTGTTAACAAGCTACATGGAGCTAAACTGATAGCAGCCAGAGCCCTGGAGCTGGAGGAGCCATGTGGAGACTCACGCCAGCCATAGCTGCTTCCATGGCCACTGGATCCACAAGACTTTTCACCCACTGGCCTGTGATCTAATAGCATTCAGCATTATTGCATGGCTGTGTATGTCTGAAGAGGAATTTATAACTGGTATCAGACATATGGGTTAATATCGGACTTACAGACTTGATCTGGACTGGGCTGGGATGTTTTCTTAATATACAGTTGTTCTTTGACATAAAGTTTTCCCTTACCCACAGCTGAGTGTCCATGAATTTGTTTCTCTGTCCACCTGGTCTAACACAGGGACACAGCCCAACTCGCTTGTTCCCTGCTCTCCATGGCTGCCTTCCCTTGACAGCAGCCAAGTAGAACAGAGACGACGTGACCCATAAAGCCCAAGGGAGAAAATACTGACTCCGTGGCCCTTTAAGAAAGTTTGTCCACTAACAGATGTCCCTGACTGCAGAAGCCATGCTCAGAGGGGTTAAAGCTTAGGGCCCAGAGGCTGCCCTTGAGGGCATCCCCGACTGCCTCACCTACTGCATCATGCCCAGCCAGCCTTGAGCAAATCACCAACTCTTTGAAGCACCCTCCCCACCTACAGTGTTAAGTGCCCTGTCCAGTGGGGTTGGGGGCAGTGACAGGCTAGTGCGGCCATCACCATTATCCACATCCAAGCTGTCCTCACCATGCCAGACTTCAGACGAACCCCAGCCTCCCCTCACCCTGTTCCTCTCCCCTTCCCTGTCACGTGGAGCTAGAAAATGCTTGTTCCATAAAAAGCACAGCTCCACCAGCCCCACCCAGACCCCCCAGGCTCCCCACCCACTGCCCACACTGACATTTGGAGCATTATTGTGGGATAATGAGCATTGTTTGCTTTGCTTTCTTGCTGTTTTATGGAATGCTGTTTGCCCCGTTTTCAGTATTTGTTTTGTGGTCTTAAAATCAGTTTCACTGGTGTGCCATTTCCTCTTCCTTCTCCGCTGCCCAGGGGCCCTTTGTCCTAAGATCAGTATCTGCAGCTAAGCCAGGAGGGAGAGGCAGACCTACATAGGAGGATGGAGCCCCATCTCTGAGCATGAAGGCACCCAGAGTACTCCCAAGCTCTGTGCCACCGCCGTGATGGGCACGGCTCGGTCATCAACCTGTTTGCTGGCTCCTCAGCCGTCCTAAAAAAGTTCCACTCTGCCATGAAGTCACATCTGACGACTCACGGTGCCCCTGTAGGGCGGGTACAGTTGCCCTGGTGAGTGTCTGAGGCTGGAAATCTTTCCAGAAGCTAAAAAGCCTCCTCTTTCTCCTGAGGAGCAGCTGGTAGTTTAGAACTCTGGACCCTTATGGTTAGCGGTCCAATTCACAAGCCTCCCTCAGCCATCAGGGCTCCTTGAGACCCAGCCACAGAGACCTCGTAGTGAGTTGAGCATCTAAAAACCTGTAGAATGGTTACCCCCAAAGCTATCTCTCACACACCTTGAGCTCAAGTTTGACTGCCCCCACATCTTATCTTGCTTCTCCTCCTAGGTACTAGCCAGGGAGGGACCTGGCTGTACCCTCAGGGCCATGAGCCATTCAAAGCAGTCGTTGTCAAGAGAGACGTCTCATTCTCTCTCTCTCTCTCATTCTCTCTCTCTCTCTCTCTCACACACACACACACACACACACCACCTCTACTTTAACTTTGAAGGCAGCTATCTTGTAAATAAGACATTCCCTCGGGCTTGGGGCCATGACATCTACACTCGTATGTGATGGTGTTTTTATTAGGGATGCATCTGTGTCTTACTTGAGGAGCCCTGGTGATAGGAGCCAGGCTAGGCTGCTCACCAAAACGTTGGTGGTTCAAACCTACCCAGTGGTTCCTTGGGAGAGAAACCTGGTGGTCTGCTCCCAGGAAGTTCACAGCCTAGAAAGCCCTGTGTCACGGGCCTCCTCTGTCCCATGTGTCACTGAGACTCAGCACTGACTCCACGACCTAACAACAAGATGACTTGAAAGAAGATGCTTCCCAAACTCACTGCCATGGGGTCAATTCTGAATGACGCCATTGACATCAGGTCAGTAGCATCCCGGTAGGACAGAGTAGAACTGTCCTGTGGCTCCTATGGGTTTCCCAGGCTGTCACTCTTCACAGGAGTAGAAAGCCTCATCTTTCTCCCTCGGAGTAGCTGGTGGATTCGAACTACCAACCTTTTAGTTAGCAGTCCAAAACACAACCCACTATGCCACCAGTCTCCTTTACTAAGGAACAACACCTGCTAAGTTTTAAGAGGGAGTATAATTCCTAGACCAAACAAAGAGGCTTCAAACATTTGTAGGAGAAAAAGAGGCTGTGGGCATCTGGTTCTGGGTTTGAGGCCACATGTTTTTACTTGAACGAAGATGAGAAGCCTGAGCTGCTCTGCCGTGAACTGCCAAGTGGCCTCCGGGGCTTGCAGCTGGACCCCACTTGTTTTCTGCATTTGCCACATTCAGAGGTCTTCAAAGAAAAGTCTGTTTTCTCCTAGTCCCAGGGGGCATCACCTCCACCCATTCCAGTGTTGGGCAGAATTGCAGGGTTTTGTTGACTCTTGGCTTTGCTGCCGGACAGGGGTGGAGGGGGACGGGACGCCAAGTCAGCGTCCACAGAACAATGTGGACTTTTGCAGACAGTAAGCCTCGTGTTTCAAGCCTTTGTCCTGGTGGATGGCCTTTTTGCAGAAGTCCCGAGCAGGGACTGCTCTTGGAGGTGGGGAGGGGCAGTGAAGAGAGAGAATTCTTTCCTACAGCAAAACAGATTGGTTCAACAGTCAAGGTGCCCTTGGGTCTGGGGCCCCTGGGCCTTTGAGCATTACCATCCAGCTCTGAGCTCTCAGATGGGTACGATCGCTGAGGGTCAGTGTAGGCAAGTCCCGTCTGCAGGCTCAGGGGAGATGGTTGTGTACTCGGCAGAGCACAGTCTGTGTGCTCCCAGGCACATTCTCTGGTGCCCCCACCTACGCTTGTCTCAACCTGGGCCCAGCCAGGTATGCTGAAGCAAGCTCAGAGTGAGGTCAAAACCTTGCCAAGGAGACAGGAAGGGGAGACTGAGGGGAGGGCCCCCAGGAGGTACAGAGGTGTTATTTTCTGACTCTTCAAAATGTACACTGCATAGATTCTCTTAAAGATGCGCTGGTGCCACAGAAGGTAAAGCAGTTTGGCTGCTAACTGAAAAGTCGGGGAGTTCAAACCCGCCACCCGCTCCCCTGGAGCAAGACTAGGCAGCCTGCTTCTGTGAAGACTGACAGCCTGGGCAGCCCTGTTGGGCCGTCTGACTCTGCCCTATGGGGTCGCTGTCCGCTAGGATCGACCCAACAGCTGAGGGGAATGGATTTCACATTCTTTCAAATGGATCAGGGATTGCTTTCCGTTGGCTTTTTTGTTTGGTTTGGTTTTTCATTTCATCCTAAACTATTTGGAAGAAGAAGAAGGCTTCCGTGAGATGGAGGGGCGCAGTGGCTGTGCCAGTGGGCTCCAGCACAGGAGCAGTCGTGAGGAGGGCGCAGGGCCATGCGGTGTTCCGTCCAGCTATACACAGGGTCCACCTGGGCTAAAGCAGCAGCAACCTTGGGAATGACTGGAGAAGTGACGATGGAGCTCCGGCCTACCTGAGGGTCTGGGAACTTCAGGGTTTGATCGGTTCTCCTTGTGGTGCCTATGGTTTCTTGGCTCTGAAGAAACACCCTGCCTCCTGAGCCAGAGAGGAAGATGGTGGTGGTGGTGGTGGAAGTGATAATGAGATGATGAGAAATGCTTTTTAAACACATGAGGATGGAGAGACCTCGTCGCACATCCTTTGGGCGTGTTAGCGGGAGGGACCAATCCCTGGAGAAGGACCCCGTGCTTGGTAAAGTGGAGGGTCGGCAAACAAGAGAAAGAGCCTCACCAAGGTGAATTGATGTCACTAACAGTGGACCCAAACACAGCCACGGTGGTGAGGGTGGTGCCGGACTGGGCAGTGTTTCCGTTCTGTCTCACTGGGGTCACTGGAGTTGGAACCAGCTCAGCGGCACCTCCACACCAGCAAAGACAGCCGGTGAGAATGGCACCTGGGAAGAGTGGTTCAGGTGGGAGTGCAAGCCGATGCTGGTGGTGGAACTGTGAGCTCAGGCATTTGGACACTGTGCTATGCTGCCACCTTCAGGAGGAGTCGGGCGCCAGGCACAGCCCACTCCAAGCAGAGGGTGTTTGACTGCCCCTGCCCTTCCTGGGGAGGGGCCCTGGTGGCATAACAGTTTAGCTTCTGGCTGATAACTGCCAGGTCAGCAGTTCAAAACCACCACTAGCAGCTCGTCAGAGAGAGATAGGGCTTTCCACTCCCACAAAGTTCAGAAACTCACACGAGCAGTTCTACCCTGTCCTGTAGGGTCACTTGAGGTTGGCATTGGCACGATGGCAGTGAGTTGGAGCTTTGGGGGGTTTGTCTTTCTCGGGTGCCCATTCCACAGGCACGCCTCCAGAGGCAAGTCTGACATTCACTCTGCCTTCTCAGAGTCCGTCAGCATGAGAGCCCATGAATCATCTACCCAGGGCCTCCTTGAGCTGAATGCCCAGTCCCATCCCAGCTCCCAGGTGTCACATGGCCCCCAGGCCCTGCGCTGATGAGACATAGACCACCGGTACTCCAGAGTCTTCACTCCTGGCATTACTCAAAAGACCACTTCCCTAGTGTCGTCTAGTGCCTGGTATCAGATGTCCTCACCTGGATGGGCATTTTCCAGAAGTGGGCTCTTCCCTTCTCAGGGAATCATCTGACCCAGCAACCTTTTCTCACTACTGGGCTTGACGCCTGGTAAGTTCAGAGCAGGGCCTCTGATGGGGCGATAATTAGTATTCTGTATTTCTGCTCAGGCTCTGAGTTGAAGAACAGCCTCTCCATGCAGAAAGGGCCTGTAGCACAAGCAGGCCTATTTCCCCAGCACATGTGTCCCCCAGGCTGAGGCTAATGAGATGTGAGGAGACGGCAAGCCTGGGTCCCCGGGGCAGACCTGAGGAGCATGGTCAGGGATACTGCCCAGAAATATCCAAGGAAACTGGTTTCTGCAGCACTGGGCTGGGATCCAGCTCCCCTTTGGAACGGGAGTTGGCGCATTAGACCTTTAAAAAAGAAATTCTTCTCCATCACCGACTTATCCAATGAGTGGACTTTTGTTTAAGGTGACCAGATTTTAACATTGGTAAAGCGGGACAAAAGCGGGACACCATTGATAAAACTCATATCCTGGTGAAATAGCCACATGGCAGCCGAAAACCGTCTACCCTAGCTTGTCGTGCATTCTTTCCAAAAATTGGGACTTTTTGAAAACGCCGCGGGACACGGGACAAATTGTTAAAAATCGGGATTGTCCGGCCAAAAGCGGGATGTCTGGTCACCTGGGTTTTGTTGTTTTTCATTCTTCATATTGTGAGCCGATACCATCGAACTCTTGCAGAAAATGAGAGAGGAGATAGGGGCTCTGGTCTTGCACACAGTGGGTTCTTCTTGGGTCTATGGATGCTGCCAGGCTGTGGGCTAGTCCATGCCCTCGTGTCCTCAGGCCTGGCATCCCCTCCAACATTGCTTCCCCACTGTGGGGCAGGGCCCAGGTGTCCCACAGCTTTGGCAGCACGTCCTGCTGGCGGGGAGGGGGGCTTTAAAGAGTGGACGGATGCCATGATCTTCCTGTTCCATGTCCCCAGGAGCCTTTTGAAGTCACACACCTCGCCCTGCCCCACCCCCACTTCCCCATGATGATCTCTGCAGGTGCCTAACAATTTTGTAAAACCTTCGCACTGAACATTTCTTGGGTTATAAAGAGTCCTACCTGTGCCTGTCCATCGCTGACACACACTGGATGGGATGCTAGCATTCCAAGAGAAGAATGTATAGGTGGGCTTGTGTGTCCCTTGGTCAGGGAGAGCTGGGGGCTCCAGTCCCGAGGCTGCTCCAGTGGGCCTGGCTGGCACCCCGCCTCTGCATTTCTCACACTCGCCCACTCGCCAGGTGTCTCAGGTGCAGCGGGCCCAGCATCACCCTTGGAGCAGTGAGGCTCTGTCCCCCTGGCATGGCCTTGGCCCTCAGCTGTCCTGTCCAGTGCCAGCAGCTGCTGTTTCCCACCCCCTGCCCCCTCAGACACCATCCTGGCAGCTCACTCTTCCAGGCCAGCCTTGACTCGGGCCCCTGAACATCTTTTCGTAATCTTGGATCTTGTTCTGTTTTCTCTCCTCGCAGTACAAGATGCGAAAAACCTGATCCCTATGGATCCGAACGGGCTCTCCGATCCTTACGTGAAGCTGAAGCTCATACCGGACCCCAAGAACGAAAGCAAACAGAAGACCAAAACCATCCGCTCCACGCTGAACCCCCAGTGGGGCGAGTCCTTCACCTTGTAAGTTGTCTGCGGCCTTCATCCGGTCACCTTCCCACACACCTTGCCACGGCTCGCCGCTTAGGAGAGGCAAAGGCGGGAGCATCTTTCTGGCTCCAAACATCAATTCATCCCTCCAGCCTCCCTACTGCGGCTGGCCTCCAAGTTGAGGGGTCTTAGCTCAGGCTGAGCCCACCGTTGCGGCTCACGCCACGCTAACCCTTATGCTCAAACGTAAGAGTGCCGGGCTGGGCGGTGTTTCCTGGTATTGTGCACAAGGTCATTATGAGTCAGAGCTGATTGGACAGCACTAACCACACAACAGCTTCATTTACTGCAAAGGGACCGCCGTGGCCCAAACGATGATCTCTGCCTCCTCCATAGAAAAACGCCCACATCAGGTGATACAGGTGCTATAGGTGGTATTACAATGTTTACAGGGGTATGTTGATGGACTCTGGTTCTTTGGGGAGTTAGGGTTTGGGGTGCAGAAATAAGGTAGTAACACAAACTGCTCTTACAAACTGCTGTTTCCACTCCATCAGTCAGCTCAGACATCAAGCCCACAGCTCCCCGTAGGGTGTTCCCTGACAGCCCAGGGCTCTGTATTTGGCTGCAACAGCCACACTAAACACAAAAACAAACTCACTGCCAACCAGTTGATGTCGGCTCAGAGCAACCCCATAGGACAAGGTAGAACTGCTCCCGTGAGTCCCCAAGACTAACTCTTGGAGTAGAAAGTCCCTTCTTTCTTCTGAAGGTAGTGGCTGGTGGTTTTTGAACTGCTAACCATTCCTATAGCAGTAACCAGCCTCTAGAGTTGTGGATGGTGCCTCCCAAATCCAAAATTCATACGTCTCTCTGGAGGATCTGCGTCATCCCCAAAGCTTCAGAAGCTTGTGACATCAGGTCAGGCCGTAGGCTCAGGGTCCAATGACCGTAGGTGTGGCAGAGAGAGAGGACCCACTCTTGGCTCTGCTCTTTTGCTGGTAGTGAGATCCCACCCCCTGCTTCTGAGACAGTGCACCGCCTTATACCCAGCCAATGGCACTCACTCACCTTGGAGTCACATAACACAGCTGTTAGCTCCCCCACCTTCGTAGCCATACCAACCTGGGAAAGGGCACATGGCGGGAATCACACACACGAACAATGACTAGAAGAGCCATTCCCAAGCCACTGCACTGCGAGGGGTCGGGCTGGGATGTGGACCATTATCTTAAAACACAGGATACGGGAGTAATATGGCCAGTGCTCTTCCCCCTGAAATGGGGGAAAGTCATCTTTGCCTTCAATCAGGGAAGGCTTAATGGAGGAGGCCGTGTTTAGTGTGAGCCTTGATCGGTGGTCAGGGTTTCAGAGGTGGGTGGTGGAAAGGAAAGAAGGAGGGAGGTGGTGGCATAAACAAGCTGGTGCTGAGAAAGCACTAATTGCCCCTGAGTACAAGCAAAGAGTCATCTTTGTTGACTGGAGTCCAAGAAGCCATCCATCGCCGAAGGCCCTCCCAGAAAGGGTGTTCCTAGTTGCCTAGAACAGTGGCCAACACACTGCTTCTTGTCACGGGCCATGAAACCCACTACCGCCAAGTTGGTCCCAGCACCTGGTGACCTGTAGGCACAGAGTTGGGTTTCTCAGGCTGTAATCTTGATGGAAGCAAGCTGCCACATCTGTCTTCTCTGAGCAGCAGGTGGGTCAGAACCACTGACCTTTGGATTCAGAGATGAGTGCTTAACCACTGTGCCGCCTGTGCTGTCTTGTAGAGGGCCACATAGTAAGTATTTTAGATTGTACGTGCTATGCAATCTCTGTTGCAATGGCAGGACTCTTGCTGTTCTAATGCCAGAGCATCACGGGTAATGTGTATATAAATGGTTGTGTTCCAATAAAACTTTATTTACAAAAAAAGCACAGGCAATGGGCCAGGTCTGCTCATGGGCCATAATTTCCCACTTCCTAGGCTGGAGCTTTGGGAGCCAGGAGAAGGGCTGGTGCTTTGGGAGCCATGGCAGGTCCCAGGGAGAGAAGTGAATATACCGTTTTCCTATCTAGACTCAGATCATAAACATGCCATCTCTCCCAAGATAACATGATGTGTGTGTGTATGTGTGTTTTGTAGCAAATTGAAGCCTTCAGACAAAGATCGACGACTGTCTGTGGAAATCTGGGACTGGGATCGAACCACCAGAAATGACTTCATGGGCTCCCTGTCCTTTGGCGTGTCGGAGCTGATGAAGATGCCGGCCAGTGGATGGTAAGGAGGCCCCTTGGGGAACTGTGCTTCAGTCAGCCAAGGTTTCATTGTCGTAGAGCATGAGCCCCTGGGAGGGGGGCATCAGAAGACCAGTCTCTGGGACGGTGTCGAATATGTAGTTATCCAGCTGTGATCTCGTTCTGGGGACAAATTTCACAGAACAGCTTGAGTGGAGGCGGAAGGAGCAAAGGTAAGGAACCTGTGGGGTTACCTTAAACAGTGCGCTGTTCTAGGGTAAAAGGAGACCTCCCCCAATATAAATATATTCTATAGAGAACCTCCTGTTAAGCCCGAAACAAAGACAACCACCCGGGTAAGGAAAACCATCAAGGTGAGATCAAGATGGAGTCCCAGGAATCCAACTCTGGATGATGGAAAACAACGGCCATCACCAGAATCGTGGCCAGTGGCCGGTCAAGCGGTCATTGTTGGAAGCCGGACTGCAGAAGGGGAAAGCGCAGGATCGGAATCTGTGTACAATCACAGATGCTACCACATACCCCACAGGGTGGGTTCCGGGCCTTCAACCACCTGGCTAGGTGGTGGTGGTAGGGGTCTGACTCATAACCACGTGGCCCTGAGTCGTAGTCACCAGGACCCCGTCTTTTAACTTGAACTTGATCTGGTTTGGGTAACTCGTTAAGGACACGCCCAGGCCTGTTCCCCAGACCTCCCGGAAAGGCTGAGGGTAGTCCTGCACCCTCCTCTCTCCCTTGCCCCATGTGTTCACCCCGGTTCTCTGGAGAGTCAAATCCATGGACACTCATAAAGGTATAAGGGAAGAGTTTTATATCAAGAAGTAATCTTATACCAAGAAGGCCCAGTCCAACTCAAATCAGTCCATAGTCCGATGTCAGCCAGGGCCTTCTTCACATGCACGTGGCTGCAGGCTGAGGACGCAGAAAGGGAAAGTGAGATGCAGGGAGATCACAGGGTGTGGGGACAGGATCTCGTGGATCCAAGGTGGGTGGGAGCATGACAGGGCACTGACAGCTCTCAGAGTCAGGTGGCCCACATGGGGCTGCCTTGAGGCAGGCAGAGTCCCAACAAGCAGAAAGGGAGAGGGGCAGAGAGAGGGGGAGAGAGAGAAGGTCAGTTTCTTCTTTATGGAAAGGCCACACCTCCCTAAGGCATCAGCAGCGGACTGTGACCTGATTGGCAGGTTAGACTCCACCCCTCCATAAACGCTTCCAACCTAAAGCGTCCAACTGCCACCCCCTCCCACCCCTGAGAGGTGTCATCCATCCAACTAAACTCTTCCTGGGGGGCATCCGGGCCCTCTCTGCCATCTCAGATTAATCCGGGCCACATTGCTGCCTAATGTTCAGAAAGAACCCAAATAGGGTTTGAACTCACATCAAGACTTAAAATGGAGTTAGGGCTCGTCCACCCCCTGCCCCGCACAGCCCACCACCTTCCGCAACCCAGTGCCTTAGAAGTTGTGCTCCGCCCTGCCCTTACCCCTGTTCTCCCCTTGTCTTGAAAGGTACAAGTTGCTGAACCAAGAAGAAGGTGAGTACTACAACGTGCCCATTCCGGAAGGGGACGAAGAAGGGAACGCCGAGCTCAGGCAGAAATTTGAGGTGAGGAGCCCCCTCGAAATCCCGCAGCCACAGTTCCTCTCCAAGCAGTCCCTTCGGGAAGGGCCTGGGTGTGCGGCCACAGCGCTTGAAGGCGAAGGCCTTTCTGATGTTAACTATGTGCTTCTTTGTTTTAAACACACAAATGCTCTGTGTGTGTGTGTGTGTGTGTGTGTGTGTGTGTGTGTGTGTGTGTTTCTTCGAGAGCTATTGGCATGCCATCCCTGTGATCATTTAGACATGGACCATTTGGGCACGCTCACGGCTGGGTCTTGCCAAGGGCGTCGGTGCACATGAGCGGGGAGACGGGCCTTGGTGGGCTCAGGCTTCTCATCACAAAGAAGGGGTTAGGCTCTCCCTCAAGGGAGGGGCTCCGTTGGCTTTTCCTTGGAGATGTGTCCTTGAGCTGCCTCGTTGGTGTCTGAGTTTCGCTTCTCTTCCTTCAGGAGCCAGGGGTTCCTGCTTTGGCTGTGGTGTTTGGGATCCTCGTGCGTTGGCCCACCAGCTCATTCTCATCCTTCCCATTTGAATTCATGATGCCCCCTGTCCCAGAATCCCCCTCATTGCTCATCAGACATCGCAGCTCCCAGGGAGCGGGTGCTTTTCCCTGCACCTGCCCAAGGTTCTCAGTCTCGACCTTTCATTTCTCTGATCACCCACGCGTTTGCCCGTCTGAGGGGTTCGGAAAGTCGGTGCAGAGCAGCCTGCAGTCAGTCTGTTGTCCCGGCTTGATTCTCTCCTGGACCTTGTTCCTCTTCAGACTAATTAGGATGGTCTAGAGCAGTGGTTCTCAACCTGTGGGTCGTGACCCCTTTGGGGGGTCCAATGACCTTGTCACGGGTCACCTAAGACCTTCGGAAAACACATATTAGTACATATTCTATTAAGACGGTTACCCATGGGACACCATGCTTCAAGACAAAGTTTCATTTATTGGTAATTAGAAATATTTCACAATATGTAATTACATATTGTTTTGTGATTATTCGACTATGCTTTAATGATGTTCAATTGGTAACCATGAAAATGCATCTTGCATATCAGATATTTACATTACGATTCACAACAGTAGCAAAATGACAGTGATGAAGTAGCAATGAAAGTCATGTTACAGTTGGGGGTCACCACCACATGAGGAATTGTATGAAAGGGTCGCAGCATGAGAATGGTTGAGAACCGCTGCTCTAGAGTTTCCCTGCTCTAAAGGAATAGATGTCAGGAGCCCTGATGCCATAGTGGTTTTGCGCTGGGCTGCTAACTACAAAGTCAGCGGTTCAAGCCCACCAGCCACCTCAAGGGTGAAAGATGAGGCTTTCTATGCCCATGAAGACTTACAGTCTCGGAAACTCACGGGGGCAGTTCTATCCTGTCCTCCAGCGTCACTCTTGAGTTAGTCTCCACCCAATGGCAGTGTTTGGGAAAGGAGCACACACATGTGCACGCGTATGTTCACAGTGATGGCATGTGAAGGGTCTTGTTCGTAGCTTCTGATGTTTCCTTCTCTCAAATGCATCCCGTCCCACAGAAATTCACTGGGCAGACCCCGTTACAATGAGGTCCAAAAGCTGGACAGCTCGAAGCTCTTCAAACAGTGTGATTATCCGGGTGTTGGTGGCACTGGGGATGGGGTTCCAGGTGACCTTCCTGTCCAGGATCCTGGGTCTGTGCCCTTGGCTGTAGGGGAGGTGAGCACAGATCAGGAAGTAAGGGAAGAAAGTCGCAGGAAGACATAAAGAGCCCTCTGCCTAGCGGAGACTCTGGGGGCTGCACGAGCCCTTGCTTTGCAGGCACCTCACCTCTAAAGATTCTAAGACAGCTTGGAAAGACCATATTCCTGTTTCTCTGGCCAGTGAGTCCAGCCTTGCATAAAGGTTTCAAACGCGTTCATAAAGAAGGAAGGAAAATGACAGGCTAGTGGGCCGGAGGACAGAGGGAGTCTGGTTCAGGCCACGTGTGTGTTGAGCTGGTCCTCTCGTGGGAGAGCAGAGAGCTTTGTGGGAACCCGGCCCCCAGGTGGGAGGTGCAGCCAGCATGGAGGTGCCCTGACCCCCCAGGAGCCAGGAGCCTGGAGCAGCTGTGCTCACGACATTCCAGCTTTCCCTTCAAGCATCTTTGCACGGGACCTTCCCGCGATTTTACTCCAGTTTGGCTGGTTCTTTACTCATGTAGAACATTTAAAGAAAATCAGCTTCAAGAAATTGGGCAAAACACCCATTAGACGATGTCAAGCGAATGCCGAAAATGTTATGACAGGTTGTTTGCTGCGTTTTAAACAGAACGTTGAGATCTGAGTGCAGTCAGGGGCGCTCTGTGGAGCCCTGAAACAGCAGAAGCCGTAAATCCTCCTGAGTGCCGAGCTGTCAGGAAGCGGTGTCCCGCGGCACAAAGGTGGTGCCCTGTCCTAGCAGCTCTGGTGCCAGCTGACTTTGCTGAACGGGACACCACTTGGCATCAGGGTACATGTTGGGCACCTTCCTTTGCCCGACCCCTCACCTCCTCACCTGTCTCCTCCCTCCTAAGCAGTCCCGCGCCAACTGACCCGGGTGTGACTGCGTCTTGTGTCTGGGAGCACCAACCTTGGCACCCATTCTCCCCACTGGCTTGCTGTGTCTACCCACCCTCCCTAGTGTGAGCTCTTTCTCCCCACCTACTCTGAGAGACACGGTCTCCTCCCCTGGCCCCCCTTTGATTTGGCTCAGTTCAGTTGGGCTGATTGGCTGGTTTGTCATAATTGAAACTTCAGTGGGGCATCATAATCGGATGAGATCAAATGCAGCCACGGCTCTTTAGGAACAGGCATGAGAAGGCTCCTGGGGTATCTGCTATGTGGGGCATTCTATGCCTGCCTGGCTCGGGTCGCTAAGAAGAGCTAACTGGACGTGGCTGGCGCAGGAGCATTTACAGCCCCGCCACTGAGTTTTAGTCTTCTTCTGACGGTCTGGGGGAAGCTTGTTCTAATGCACTGATGGCTCCAAAGGCTTGGCGAACAGAAGGAGCCATGAGTGGAGCTCGGATGAGCCGAGGAAAGTCCCAGGATGGCTGGAAATGGCCTTCCTCTCCACTGCACCTCCCCCAGAGCAGTCCACCGGCCGGGAATCAAAGCAGGACCAGAGCCTTGGCCTCACCACGCCTGGACAGTCTGTCTGGGACTTCTAACCTGCTGCAGGCTAAAGTACTTCCGCTCAAGAACAGGTGGACCCTGGTGCACAAACATCCAAGTGACACATTTGTTCATTGATTCAAGAAATGAGATTCTAGCCATGAACAGAGATGGTGTGTCCCTCCCTATGTACCTATTGTTTCTGCTTCAAGTTCTATTTTGGGAGAAGGGCAGAGAGCTTATTAGATAAATACAGTACAACCCCCTGTCCTGGTGGCACTGCTGGGGAAGCGTTGGGCTGCTAACGGTGAGGTCAATGGTTCACATCCATCAGCTTCTCCAAGGACGACGATGAGGCTGTCTGCTACAGGCTCGAAACCCTGCCTGTGGGTCATAGTTTGCCAACCCCTGGGTTAGCCCAGAAGCCAATCAGATCCTGGCTTTGCCAGGATGTAACCATATGCTCTTTCTGCCTCCGTGTTCTTAACTGTGAAATGGGATTATTAGTCACAGTATTTACTTAGCAGGCGTGTCTTAAAGGTAAAATAAGTAGTCACTTTACAGTCACAATGCCAGGTACATATGAAGTTCTGTGTAAGTGTGGTTGGAGCCCCGGTGGCTCTGTCGGGTAAGTCTTGGAACGCTAATAGCAGGGTCGGCGGCTCACACCCACCTGTTGCTCTTTGGGAGAAAGATGAGTCTGTCTGCTCCCATAAGGACTTAGTCTCAGACATCCCATCTCGGGTGGCTGTGAGTTGGAATCAAGTAGACAGAGGTGGATTGGCGGTTACGTGGGTGCTAGCATTGTGTCATTGAACATACCAGAGTCTCGAGAGCCTCTGTGTTTTCTTTTCCTTTTAACTTCTAGAGCAGCGGTTCTCAACCTGTGGGTAGCGACCCCTTTGGAGGTCAAACGACCCTTTCACGGGGTCGTTATAACAGTAGCAAAATTACAGCGATGATGAAGCAACGAAAATAATTTTATGGTGGGCGGGGGTGTCACCACAACATGAGGAACTGTATTAAAAGGTCTGGGCATTAGGAAGGTTGAGAACCCCTGTTCTAGAGCTTCCTAGAAAGGAGAGCCCTTTCCTGTTGGAACAATGTAGTAGGCAGCGGGTATAATCTCTGGGAATAATGCGCTATTGGGAGACATTTATCACTATTCGTAGCATTGCTCTGATGGGAAAATACCCCTTGGGTTACACTCGGATGACTGTCTGAGCTCAGGACGTCTGTTCCCTGAGGACTTGGTGTGGCTAGACACGTGTCAGTCCAGCCCTGGTGAACCAGTCATTGTTAGAAACCAAAAGCAAAGGCCCACGGCTGTCCAGTCAGTCCCAACTTTCCGCAGCCCTCTAGGACAGAGCACAGCTGCCCAGGGTGCCAAAGCAGAAGCACACTGCCCCATCTTTCTCACGTGCAGTGGCCAGTGGGCTCGAGCCACTGGAGCTTTCAGGAAGCAGCCGAGCACGTAAGCACTGCGCCACCAGGGTTCCTCGGTGATCACAGTGTCGAGTCGTGCTTTGATGCCACCGATTGGTTTCAGGTCCTCATTAGAGGCGCAGAAGTGAGCCTGTGAGATGTTTGTTTCAAAGCACAGGAAAACCGAGGCCAGGCCGAACCCTAACGATGGTAGTGGCTCGTGATGGAGTTCTGATGGTGTAGGGGGTTACGAGTCGGGCTGCTCACTCCCAAGGTCACCAGTTCAAACCCACCAGCTGTTCCTCAAGAGAAGGATGAGGCTTTCTCCTCCCCTAAGATTCACAGCCTCGGAAACCTGCCGAGGGTCAGTTCTCCCCCGTCTTCCAGGGTCTCTGCGAGTCAGAACCGACTCAATGGCAGTGGGTTCGGTGTGGGAGCTAATGATTCATCAGAGAAACGATTGGAGGAGCAATAGAAA